GTCTTCCAGAGAAGGCCTTGGTGTCCTGTACAACATCAACATGATGTCCCAATACCTATCCTCCAAAGGTGTAAGTGAAGGCAAGCATGCTAAACACCTTAACAATCCTGTCATGTCAAGTTTCCCTCTGCCTTTTTAAAAAGCTTGCTCTTCTGGAGGTAGACATGTGAAGACCTGCAAGTTCCCATCCAAGTCCCACTATCCTGACTGGAACTATATTGTCATTATGTCCACTGCTGGGTCAAAATCCAGAAATTCCTCTTGCTAATAAGCACTATGGATGGATCTGAACCACTATAGTCCCAGTAAGATGGCCCATTACTGTGGATGACATTTTGGGAAGGAGAAGAGAACCTAGCCTAGCCAGTAATGCCACCTATAAAAGGCTCCCAGTTCACAAGCAAATTTTAAGCCTTCTGCAAGAGGGTGTTTATTTTAAATCTATAGCTTTTCTGTAGAAAGACCTCACTCTATTGATAGTTGCTTGCACTTTCCATTTTAAATTTCTCAGCTCTCTTGACATCTGCTTGTCAATCTATTATAAGTTGGAGCCATGCTTTTATTGTGGCTACTTTGCTTTCACGTGATTTCACTTAGCTTTTCTCTGACATGAAGTTGTTTGAATTCTGAATCAGCTAGAAAGAAAACAGTTAACCTTTGGGGTTTGATATTCTGGTCCTACCACTGCTGCATCCTGGTTACCATAAATTAGATTTATTTTGTTGCTGTGCTCAGCATGTATCCAGCACAAAAATAAAATGTCAATCCATGCCTTGACTATTGGGCATCTATCTACTTCATCTAATGTTGCAGCCATCAATACCACAGTATCTTCTGCTTGAATTGCCATTGACTTATTTTGGATTGTGCTTTCTGGTTCCTGCTGTCCAACCTTGCCATCATGGGTGGCCCTGCTAGGAGTTGAGTCCTTGATAACATTGCTGAGTCAATGGAACACTTGACCCTCTGCTACAGTGAAGTGACAAACCACAAAGGTACAGACGTTATGCATCAAACACAACTGACTCCATTACATAGTGACTGAAGGGAGGGAGGAAAGAGAAGGCCTTTTGCTATTCAGCATATCTGCACCCCTCATGATTTTATAAAGCTCTAAGAGCACTGCTCAACTTCTTACATTCCATCTCAGCTGTTTTTTTTATTAGTATAACAAACTTTCCATTCCTGGTAACATTTTTCTGGTAAAGATAATGGATTGCTTCTAATCAACTTTTCCCTCCTGAAAATGGAAAGAAACCAACTGGTGTTCATGCTAATGCAGTGCTTAACTGGAGCTGAAGTAAAATCACTGACATTTAAAAATTCCTGACTGAATTTTGGAATATTTTAATTTTTTGCTTGGCAGCTGGTAAAACTCTCCATGGAAGTTTTAAGGTTGATAGGTCAAACTCTCCCATCTGTGACCAGAGAACGTCTTGCCTAAGAACAGAAATGTGGCGATAAGACTTTTTTCCTAGAGTAAACAACAGATACTGGCTGCACATCAGGTCAAATAGTGGCTCTTAACTTTAGCATCCCAAAGGTGTGGCAACAGGCCATTCAGCCCAACAAGTCCAAACCAACTATCTGAAGAGCATCCTGCCCAGACTTTTTTCCTCCCTTTCTCCCCCTCTCTTTCTTTCCTCCCTCCCCTTTCTCTCTCCAATCTCTGCTGCCCCTTCTCTCCCCCCCCCCCCCCCACCCAAAACATCCTGCCTAATCCCTTAACATTATATTTCCCACAGCCAATCCACCTAAACCAGCACACCTCTGGGTTGAGAGAAAACTGGAGCACCCAGAGGAAGCCCATGCAACAGAATATCTGTGGAGTTTGCACAGTTGCTTGAAGCTGGAATTGAACTTGGTGTCTGTCACTGAAGCAGCAGTGCTAACCACTAAACCACCATGCTGCCCACAGAATATTTTCACAAAAGCCTATAAATACTCAGACTTGTGTTAGAGTAAAGCATTACCTGGGTTTTAACTGGAGGAGCACGTAGTGGAGAATGTTTCTCTGGCACAAGCCAGTCTTTCAAGCTGTATACTTGTAATATCCTGGGAGCAGCATAGGGTGGAGGAAATCTGAAATTTAATTCAGACCCCTCTGACTAGGTGGCAGAAGCAGGTTGTGATACAGGTCACTTGCTCCCCTCCCTGAATGACTAACTTCATGTGGTAGGGTATGGCTGAGAGAGGAAAGATTATGACAGCAATCCTTCTGAAGCTAGTAGGGCCTCTGCAAGAAGAGGTCAGAATTGAAAATAATCTGACCTAGCTAATATGCTGCATGGACAGCTGTCAAAGATAGGTGGGCACTTTCCATAAATGGGAATGAACTCAGCTTTGACAAACCCATGCAGAGCAGCTCACTTGTGACAAACAATTGAGGAAGTTAACAGATGCATTGGTGCTACAACAGAAAAAGCCAAGATAAATGGGAAGGATAAGTACAACAGCTGGGCCTGAAGTGTATTATGCTCTCAGCTTTATAGAAACCCATGTACCTAAATTGGGAATGAATAATCCCAGTAATGCTGGCCATGAAACTAATGGACTGTCATGAAAATCATTTGATTCACTAATGCCTTTCCAGAAGGGCAATCTGCTGTTGTTGCCTGATCTGACTGCTACCATCAAGAAGAACAAGGGCAGCAGTATCCAAGAATGTCACCATCTGGACATTCACCTCAAAGTCTCTCACTAACTCCAAGCCCCAGTTTTAACCCCTACATCTGTCTAACACCAAAAATGCTTTTAACATAGTGACAGCAACCAGGATTGTTAATTGTTTACACTTGCAAATAACAACATCTTTCCTTTTTTAAGATCAGGTAGTAGCTCGTGAATTCATTCACTGCCTCAACAGTTTGAAATCCTGAAATTTCTGTGGGTTGAATTGTTAGCTCAAATGTTCAGGATATAAACCCAGTAACTAACTCATTTCTATCAAAAGAAATTGAAGTGTGCTTTTTTGAGATTGCAATGATGATTTTTCTAATAAAATGTGAATATTAGTCTGTTTCAAACAGTCCTTCATGACTAACAAGAATGGACACTATTCCATTCTTAAACATTGGGGAAAATTTTTCTAATATTTGGATGTGATTTTGTTAACACTAATTTGGATAACAATGTTCTGAGAAGGGAAAGTTTGTGTTTGAACAATATCTTGTTTAGACTGAGTCCCAGGGCCATTTGTATGTTACAACAATGTTGTGCTATACCTATACCTGGACATGTCACAAACTGTAACATTTGTCTGAAGATAAATTATTGCCTCAATGAGATTTAATTGAAGATGCTGATCAGTCCCAATTTCTAGCACTTGTTGCCAGGGAATTTTTCCTTCATGCAAGACCCTCCAATTTTCATGTCTGCCTCCTTCCAAATTTCTTCTTTAAATATGTGATGTTGAATGCATCTAGCTTAACTTTGTTCAAATTTAACAAGCTTAACTTGGAAAGAATAAAAGCCCACTTTGTCACAAATAGGACAGTGAATTTTAAATAGTCCACTCAATTCTTGTACTGATGTAATTAACTTTGTCATTAATGTTTTGAGCCACACTAAAATTCTCTCAGGCTTCAGTTGAGATCAGGCTGGTTGCTTTGGAATAATCTGTGCAGGCATGTCTGTAGTAAGGTGCATGTCTCTGCTGTAAAATTGGAATTTTTTGCATGAGGGCCAAATTGTTGCCTATTACATGTTAGTCTTTGTCTAGAACATTTGCCAGACCCGCAGCACTTTATGCTGTGGTCTATACTGTATGCTTCATCTACTGTCAAATAGAATTTGGTTAATGCTGTTTAGATCTGTCCCATGATCTGAGATCCTATGATGAGGATACAGTTTGTTTCACTGGGGAGTAGCCATGTTGCTTTAGATTTGTGCTACTTAAAAGGGCATCTCCCAGCTTGTAATAAATGCAGCTTTAAATGTCTTGTCTTGTAACTCTATTTTATTCCACTTACTATTTTGATTTTTGGATAATTTTCTGAACCGTAATCCAACTTGATAAATTGAGTCTTAATTAGCCTTGTGCTATTTTCTGCTAGCCAGAGCCAATTTTTGTATCCATGGTGATAGTTCAATGTCACTTGTCATTGGTGTGAATAATATGTTATGTATGCAAATACCTTGTTTTAATACTAGTTTTGGTACCAATAGTGAAATGTCATGTGTTTTTTTGCTTTCTGAAACAAGATGTGTATGTACTTGTAGTTTTGATCAGATCAACTGTGCAGTTGCCAATTTCAACTTTTGAATGCTAGTTGGGAGTCAGTCTTTTTAATGTGGAAGACTTGGATTTAATATTTTAGCAGGTTGGGAAAACTTGAGGCTGAACTACTATTAGATGCAGCATTATTCTCTCCAGCAACATTTTCTCCAAAACTTCTTTGTTTTAATCTATGCTGTTTTCAAGTGGTTCATGGCTTGGTGTTTTTCCTGGGTGATGGGGAAAACTCAAAGCTTGCTAATTCTGTCATGCCTCCCTTATTCTCTCCTCCCCAACCCACCCACACTTACACTTTTATTTCCAGTAAAAGACACACTGCTTGAGACTTTGTTGCACATGCATCCTAGTTTGTGTTTTGATACAGATAATTGGAGTGAAACCAACTTCTGTTGTCCTCCCTAGGAGCTCAAATGGACACCAGCTTATGGCTATCCTGGCCTGAACCTGTGACAATGTTGAAACTTGTCACTTTTTTAATCTACAGAAACATGGGTTTGATTTGCATTGTAGCATCAGCACACTCAGTTTGTATACTTTTTACATCGTTACTCTGAACAATAATCCAGTCTGACTTTTTTTTTGCGTTTTGGTTTGCTTCATGTATGACTATACAAGTTCCCATGAGTGTACTCTTTTTTTCCTGCAACTTCAGTCTGAATTCAAAAAGCTTTTCTCAAAACTGAAAGGTTAACTTTGCTATCCCATGTGTAACCCTTTGTCGTAAGGGAGGAAAGTGCAATTATATTTTTAATTCTGTTTCCAGGTCAGGAGCGGTTTGGCAACATGACAAGAGTGTACTACAGGGAGGCAGTGGGAGCATTTATAGTGTTTGATGTATCCAGGGCATCAACATTTGAAGCAGTTTCAAAATGGAAGAATGATCTTGACAGTAAAGTGAGGCTGCAGAATGGCAACCCAGTGCCTGCCATCTTATTGGCAAACAAATGTGACCAGACAAAGGAGGGACTTAGCAATACATTGCCCAAGCTGGATCAGTACTGCAAAGAAAACGGTTTTATTGGCTGGTTTGAGACCTCAGCAAAGGTAAGAAATTTTTGTGGGGTAAGTTAATTACCGATGGCAAAAACTGGCATATGGAGTTCTTTCCTCACTTTGGGGGGGGCTGGGTAGTCTAAGCATCAACTAATTCTGAAACTATTCTAGGCAGCCATGTGGCTGGCAAGTATAAAGAAATGTAAGTACCATGCTGCAGTGCCTGAGGTTGGTGTTTTTTGTCTGGGTGACATGATGGCGGCACACTGACCAGGAGTGTTCATCTGATGCTGCAACTGACATGTCTCAAAGATCCCTAATAAATAGGGCTGAGAAAGCTACTTCCTGTAAGAAGCCCTGTCTTATCAGAAAGCTTGAATAGATTTTTAGTTTGCTGCATTGATGGAGCACTTTATGGAGCATCTTGGAAAAAGACTTGGAGAAGGACATTGAGAATTTCAGCTATGGATGAGCTGGGGGCAAGGATATTGAGACTAAAAATGCAATATGGTTGAAGCTTTTGTATTCTGTCTGGACCAGCATTAGTTGCCCACCTTGAAGGTGATGCTGTCCTGTTGCAGCCTTGGGTTTTAGGCACAATTGGTGCTGTTTAGGGAGAGAGTTTGAAGACATTGTTCCTTCAGTGTTGCTGGGTCATAGATGCAAGTCCAAGTTGGGACATTGGTCAGTCTGCCTTGCATTAAGGCAGACATGTGTTCCCATGCATCTTTTGCCTTTGTTTAGTGGAAAGATTAATGTACTGCCAAAGGCTTTCCTAAACTAGAACCCCCTTCCCCTCCCCCCATTTCTGATGAAGGGTCTAGGCCCAAAACATCAGCCTTCCTGCTCCTATGATGCTGCTTGGCCTGCTGTGTTCATCCAGCTCTACACCTTGTTATCCTGGAAATAAAGAATATTTAGGCAATATTGACCATATGTGCTTGTGGTTAAAGGCATCAGTATCACGAAAGATCAATGGAGGAAACTTTTTTGACTGAGAGCTGGCAAAAATAATGTAACCATGGGGAAATCTCTTAAGACCAGAAAAATGCCTGTTTTCTATACTGAAGAAAACTAAACACTGATTCCAGTAAGTGAATGATTTATGGGCTTTGAGGCTTTTAAAGTATATTTAAAACCAAAAGAACTGTGGATGCAGTGACTCAAACAAAAACAGAAGTTGCTGGAAAAGCTGAGCAGGTCTGGTAGCATCTGAAGAGAAATCAGTTAACACTTCAAGTCTGGTGACCCTTCCTCAGAACTTACACAGTTAAGGATCACTGGACCCGAAACATTACTGCCAGACCTGCTCAGCTTTTCCAGCAACTTCCATTTTTGAGTCACTGTATCCACAGTTCTTTTGGTTTTAAATATACTTAAAAGCAAAATTTTTTTTTTGCTTTTAAATGTATATATGTTGGCAATGGAGTGGGGTGAACAGAAAAAAAATAAAGCTTCCAGAGAAACCAAAGCCTTAATGAGGTGAAGAGGAACATAACAGTAATACCTGAAGATGGTGATAGGAATAGGACTAAAGAGCAACCTAGATGAAACTTACAAGCAATCATGCAGAAATATTTAACGTCACTTTGGAATGACCAGGGAGATGTTGGGTACACAGTTTACATAGGTACAACCTTTCTAAAGATCTTGGTCCAGACTTGTTGTATAACTTTTTTTCATTTTTTTTTTAACAAATGAGGATGTTGCAGTGGGCTGGTAGCTGTCTGCTTTTTCTAACTGCAATATTACACAGACTTTGGACATTCCCAAGGAATATTAAACCAGTCACTAAACATCAGTGACAATCTAACTGCTTTTTAAGGAGCAGATAATGTTTAGAATGACATAATAAATAGTTAGCATTGATTCTAAAGATCTTGATTACCAATCTTTAGTAAATTGAGGTAAAAATCCACTAAAATAATGCAGTGGCAAAAGATCTGTTTTTTTTCAAAAATCTTTAAGGTGCCCCATAAATGTTGTAATGATGGAGATCACAATGTGGGGTCAAGGGTAAGCGATGGGATGAATTGAAAGCTGGCTTCAAGACTGGCTGTGTGGGAATGAAAGGGCACTTGCTAGAAGTGGCAGAAGGCCAAATGGTGTTTGTGAGGATTACAATGTTTTCAGTTTTCTGTTAGAATTTGGAATTCAACACCACTTCTGAATTTTGACTGTAAATTGAGATTTTTTTTGGTTCAGTATGGTGAAGGATCACGAGGACATTCTGTTCCATTTTGCAAGCTTATTAACTGGACAACATGAGTCAACACCAAGTTAGGCAACTGATTTTCCTCCCCTGGGATGACTAGGGAAGTTACTTGTCATTTAGAAAACAAAATCAGTGGTGATGAGTAATAAGGTCAGTTTGTACAAATACATTAACTGCCGCAGGTTGGTATCACAAATGAGCAAGGTCTCCTTTTTCTAGTGGGGTAGAATTCAATTATGAAGTCCATGGCAAACCTGGATTGGACTAGCTGAAAACAGCATTCAGCTCTTTCATTTCTTTCCAAAAAAAATACTGGTTTCTTTTCTGGGGGTGGTGTATATAATGTGGCGGAAGAAAATCTTGCTGGACCAGAATGCTGGAGCTACTTTCCTACAATTGACTCTGGTCTTGGACAGTCAAATGGAGAATAAATGCTGACTTAGTGCAGCTGACGAACATAATTATATATGTAGGCTAACCTTTTGTTTTATTTCTAATACTTAATGTTTTGTCAGACTTAACCTGTTAGTCTCTAGTTCTGGTCATTCTTACAAATGTGCCATTTCCTTTCTCCTTTAGTTTGATGCATCATGGATTCTGACTTCATGCACCCCTTAAACATTCTAGTTTGACTTGACAGTTCCTTTAATGCTGTTATCTGTCATACAGGACAGAAGCAGGCCCTTCAGTACAACTAATCCAAACTAAAACTAAATAGGTCCCACCTGCCTGCACTATTCATGTACTTATCCAAATGTCTTTAAACACTTAACTGTACCTGCATCCACCACTTTCTCTCTAGCAGTTCATTTCACTCAAACAACTCTGTATAAAGCAAAAGTTGCCCCTCATGTCCTTAGCGCATCACATGCCTGCTTGATTTTTATTCTTTATGATTTGCAATTTTTATATTCAACTAGAGCATCCATGAATAGGTATTTCATTGCTTGGAAATTTTATTCTAAAGTAACTATAATGGACAAACTTGCCCAAAAAATGCCCTTAACCAGAGCTCACATTTAATGGATAACTATTTACTTGGGGAGAAGTTTGGAGATGCTTTGATATTTTGACATGGGTTTTTCTCACTATATAGTAGAAGGCTGGCACACCTCGATACTGCATACTATGATGGACTTGTGATTTTGTGCATAAATTGACACTGCTACGGTTCATGCATCTAACTTCCCCCAAGTGGTAAGGTTGAAGAAAAACTCCCCACTTTTTCATATTCATGAATTGGTAACTGAATCCATAGCTAAAATGTCAGTGCATCTATCTTCCTATTACTGAAATTGAATTTCTAGAGTAGTTGTAGTCTGGACAAGCCTGCCTTGTATTGAATGTATTGTGCATCTCCATATAAATCCAAGGATTGTGCTATTGACTCCTCCAGATACATCACTACCTCTTTTGGTGTGCAATATTCCTCTTCTCATTTTCAAATATACAAACCTCAAGCACTTTAATTTGTAAGAGGTGATTTGTTTAACTAGAAGCCATGTCAAGTGCAATTGTCCTCTCCAACAAACAAAAATAGAAGCTTGATTCTTCAGTTCGTTTCAAGGGTCACCTGGATCCAAAGCATTGGCCCTGCTTTCTTTCCACAGATGCCATTAGGTGTTTCTCCAGAAATTTGTTTTTCTTTTGTTTGACTTGCAATATCTGGTTTTTTATTTTTAACTTTTTTTTGGTCCCCTCTTCACTCTGGCCAGTTAACTAGTCTAGGTATTAGACTACCAAAACACTATCTACTTTGGTCCAGATTTCTGCATCAGCAGAAATTTGGGAATTTATCAAGGGATGATGAACTTTTAGTGAACTGGAAAACTAGGAATGAGTTTGCTATTTGACCCCAAAACCACATTTGGCTTGATGGCCATCATGCCACTGACTACCCCCACTTCCTTGAGTCCTTGTAGCTCAAATACCTGCTGAATATGTTCTGTAATATGAGTGAATTCCAAAAGATGGATGAGGAAATTCCTTATCCCATCTTAAATGGGAGAAGCTTTATTCTGAAACAGGTACCTAGTTTTAGTTCTTCACCCCCTCAGCACCATATCAAGTTCCCTCAGACTCTAATCTATAGAGTAGAATTTAAGAATGAGGGTTGATCTGTGTTTTAAGATCAACCTCAACTTGATCTTTCCTCAAAAGACAACACTCCTCCTCCTGCCCCCACCAAATCACAGCAAACCTTCTCAACTGCATCCAATGCAAATACATCTTGCCTTAAATGAGGCCAAAGCTGCACATGGTACTGTGATCCAGTCTTGTCAATGACCTTTACAGTTGTGACAAGACTTTGTCTTCTCCTTCAGTAAAAGCCAATATTCCACTTGTTACCAGCTATGCCTGCTGTCCCTTTTATCCATCATTGTTTCCTTTTCAGCAGGATGATAATGTTGGCAAAACAGATCTGAAGTGTTTTGCTCAAATCTATCAATTTTTGGATTGTGCCCTTCTAATGAATTAAAATTGCCACACCTCTTATCAACTAACTTAGAACGCTGCACATTTTTGTAGTCTCCAATCAGCTGCTAAATGTAATGAGCAGAAATTGCTGCCAAACTGACTATTTAAAGAATCACATGGATGTTTTCTGTTGAAACTACGGTCTCCTTTCTCTCAAATGATAAACAGGATCTCGAGAATGAGTGAGTTTAGAATAAAAGTAGGATTATGGTATTGCAGTCTGTTTATCCCTAACTAATGCAATTTCCTTTTTTTAGGATAATATCCATATTGAGGAATCGGCTCGCCTCCTGGTAGAGAACATCCTCAGTGCTGAAACTGATGATGTAGCTCCTGCAGACCCTGACATTATTACATCCCAACAGCTCTCACTGCAAAATAATAATGCCAGCTGTTCTGCCTGCACAAAGTAAAAGACAGTAATGGATCTCTGACACCTTTTTGGAAGGAAGGAGAATAGGGGTGCACTCCGTGGGTGAAGAATAAGGTCAAAAGATATTGTCTTTCAAGGTTGGGAGCTGGAGAAGTGACTGCTGCACGTGCTTAATGACTTGTGCCTGATCTGAGATGCTAGATTTATGGTGACCATTCTACCTCTGAAAGAAATTGTTATCAAGACTTGTTGAGTTATTTTCTTGTCATTGTCCTTTTTCTTCCTCCCTCTCTTTTTTCTGCCACCACCACCACCCCTCAATATTGAAACTCCCTTTTTTTACTTTTTGTTTAAAAACTAGTCCCTTTTTTTCTAGAGTTCTGGTTAAACATTCAACCAGCCAGGTCTTAAACTCCAGATGATAGAAGCATTGATTTTATAAATGAATAATTTTGGATTTTCCTGACTCCAGAAGGGTACAGTTCTACATAGTGTCCAGCTGTCTGGTCAGAGTTTCAGGCTTCACTTGACACCCTCTTTAGGGGAAGGATGTAGGTAAAGACAAGTGACTTTCCACTACATCTTGGCCATATTTATTTATTTTTGCTCTATCTTCCCTAAGTTTTTAATCCAGACTCCTCCTCCTCCTCCACTTGTACTTAGTGATATTTCTCTGGATGCCCACTTTTCTTCCCCCCCCCCCCCCCCTCAAAGTGATGGGCAGACTAGTGGTGAGTACCAAATCTGGATGGGTTCACTCATGAAAATAGGGACTATATCTCCTATAACATTAGTGGCAACCATACCTCTATATGATCCACTTTCCCTATAAATAACTACAGGCTGTTGCAATTGAATTATTACTTCCTTGCAGTAAATTGAACAATGCTCTAAGCTTCTAAAATTAGCAAAATCACCCAGTTCCACACAAACAAGCACTTTCCTACATGGTGACTTGGATTATAGTGAACTGTTCAGTGACAGGAATAACTTTTTTTAGTTGGGGGGAGGGGGACAATGGTGTGAAGAAATGCACCTTGGCTACTGTTTTTAGTCCCAACTGCTGTGCTGAACTGCAGCTTTTTTGCATATTGTGATCAATGGGTAGACTGAGTGTGTCTGTATCACTTTATATATAATCTTCCCATTTTGGACATTCTTTGCCATGTTTGTTCATTCCTCCCTTTAATTCAGAGTAATAATGGCATTTAGTAGAATTTTGTGCCTGAAATGTCTTGTTAAACAAGTGAAATGCTCAAAGCACATCCCATGCTTTTTGTAATTGGGAGTGGCTGTAGTCTAAACTGATGTTTACTTGACTTGATCTGCATCATGATTTTTGGAACTTAACATTGTAATCACTTTTTTGATAGGAAGAATGTATTTCTCTCTCTAATTGAGTATTTGTATTTAAATATTTGACTAGTCCTTTCCCTGGATTTAATATTGATGTTTGAACAAGTGTTTTTTCCTCAAGATGAGAAATGCTTTGAGGTTTATCACCATTATTCCAGCCTTACTGCCTGTGCAATTTTTTAAATATATAGACTATCAGGACTGCTCTTATCCTTGGTGACTAGTCTGTAGAACACTTTTTTTTTTCTCTTTCTCTTCCACACCCGCCCTCCACCCCTGCAAAGGATTTTGAAATCTTCCAAGATTCTCTGGTAAACCACAAAGCTGTCTTTTGTAACATTTTGCTATTTAATAATTAAACATAGACTGTCTAACTGAGAATGACCAATTGTTGTTTTTCCTGTGGTTTTCTCTTGCCGTCAACTGCTTTTGTGTTCTCATTTCACCCCTCCTTCAAAAACCCAATTTCTGTTGTATCAGCTTTCATTGCCTTCTCCCCTGTGGTTTTTCCTATACCTCTTGCTCTGTTAGAAAGAGATGCCTGGCCTCTATTGACACCACTGCCATCTTCTGGTCACTATTATTAACTGACTGAAATCTGCCCATGTACTGTGCAACTACACCACTTGGTATTTCCTTCAGTCAAACATTACTATCAAAGCAGGGGCCAACAAATGACAAGCATAAAGAAACATTGTGCAGGTACATAACTTGTTCCCCTGAAGCTGTGCCCTAGACCTACATGTTCCTCTGCCTTTACAGATACTTGATCTGATTATTTATAGAATTGATTAACTCTGCTGTCTTATGTCTAGCATCTTGCAGAAGTATGTCAATTCAACTTTCATGGCAGGAAATGTCATGAACATCCCAGAGTTCCCTGACAGCCCAGCCTGCCAAGTGTGCCAATGGCAGTTTAACAACTGCTTTCCAAGTCTCAGCCACACTGAACTTGGTAATAAAGATGGTGCTCATTGGCACTGATAGGATAGGCTAGGTTAGTAGAATGGGCAGATGGAGATTTAATATGAAAATGCTGTATTTTTACTATACTAGCTGTTTAGCTCTAGGCCTTGGCCTAAATACAAATATTTTCCAAAGATAGAAGTGGAGGTTCATGGATGTAAAACAATGAAGGTGGCAGAAAACAGGGAAGTTAATTTAAATGCATCCATACTTGTGTTTCATAACTTCTGTATTTGTACTCTGCTTAATGCTGACAATTTTCAGTCTAAAACTGCAGGAGTTTGTCTGGGTAACATGTTAAAACTAAATCACTTCAATTACTTTTTAAGGTCAGCTGTGAGGGGATAATCACTGGTTGAAATGTTCAGTTTCACCTTGCATGTCCCTAGGTTTTTAAAAAAAAAAAAAAAAAAACCTGCATGCAACCAGACCTAGACAATATCAAGGCCTTGGCTGATAAGCTACATGCCACTTTGTCCTTAAGATGTAAAATTTTACATCCTCATGTCATTTGTTGACTTTTAGGTATTGCCAGTTACCAGCAGAGGATTGGGTAGAAACCTAGGTGAATGAAGAAAAGTAACCCTTGTCTGCAAGTGTGTAATGTAGGGTTCTAGCTCTACATAGAGGGGCTAGGAATACTTCAGCATAAACTCATTACTGATTTTTTTTTTTCTCTCCCAAAGCCTGTCTACTATCTACAAAGTGTACAGCAGTACTGTGATTGGAATACTTTCCCTCACCTGGACAAATGCAGCTCTAACAACACACCAAAAAAAACCCTTATTCAAAGCAATAAAGCCTGCTGCATTAGCACCACAACCACTCATTATTTGCAGCATTGTGTTCCATATATAAGATACACTGCAGAAATTTCCCAAGCCCATGACCGCTTCCATCTAGAAAGACAAGTGCAGCAGCTTTGGGGCATATTGCTGTGTCTTCCAAACCACTTGCTGTCCTATCTTCAAAATGTACTGTTTATCCTTCAGTATTCCTGGGATGAAATCCTGGATTTTGTCCCTAATCCATTGTGGGTCTGCACATGGACTGCAGCAGTCCAAAGGTAACTAGTTGGGCTACAAATTATGGCCCTGACACATACCATGAATGAATAAAATTGAACACTTGTCTGTCTGTCACTTTTCACTATGTGGCTCACCACCTCATGCTCAAGGATCATGGGGGGGAAAACAACAAATTTAGAGAGGAATTAATTTTTAAATGTATAATATAAAGCAACTAGAATAATAATGGGAAATGAGGAGCATCAAAATGGCTGTCTTGCAAACACTTTGAACTGTTTGGTATGCACTCAGCTTTAAATCAAGCAAAAGTAATTGCATTTGCAAACTTAGACCAATTGTCCTGGAATATGGTAAACCTGAAGTTTCTACACTGACTTTGGTCCTAATAATATTTGACATGTTGCTTTTGTTTGTGGTTTTTTCTTTTTTATTGAGATCACACTGGGTCTGTGGCTAAACTGTGACCAAAAATCTCATTCCTAGGGGTTGTTCACAAGTCACCCATTAGCCTTCTCCTTTTTACTGGAAGAAAATAGCATTGAGTTGTATATGCGGATCATATGACCAAGCATAAAAGAGCATCTTTAAAATCTTAAATGTCGCAATCATGTGTTTCTGTTTTCAGCACATCAATGTAATTTTAAAAAAGTCTCATTTCAATCTGTGTACCTCAGCTAATCCAGGCTGTGGATGCTGCTTTTAGCACATACACAGTCTGAAATTGGCAGTCTGTTTGTCCTAATTTATCTTAAACTATTTACCGGATGGTGTACCCCTGGGTGATTCTGACAGCTGAATTTTATTTTTCAGTTTTTCATACCAAAAAGACAGTGTTTTTTTTTTTTTTTTTTTTTTGAGAAAGCTATACCAAGATGACTCTTTTGCTTCTATATTGTGTCCGATGCCACCTCTCTCTCTGATACCTGAAGGAGCCAAGCTTGTCTTTGAGTAAACGTGTTGGACTATAACCTAGTGTTGTAATTTTTGACCTTGTCTACCCCAGTCCAACGACAGCACCTCCACATCATCCTACCTTTAAGTGTTGGATTCTTCTCCCTATTGTTCTATAAGTGCACAAATTTATTTTAAATAGTGCTTATTTTAGAGTGCCACTTTTACTATTTACCATTATAGTACATCCCAGATGTTGCACAGGAGCATGATCTAATAAGATATCAGATCAAGGAGGTAGATTTTTAAATGTGTATTTTTTTAAAAAGGAGAGAAATGAATTGAAGAAACTTAGAGAGGGCATTCTGGAGCTTAGGAGCTTGGCAAGAAGGCATAGCCATCCTGTGTTTTTGAAGAGGCCAGAATTAGATGAACACATAGTTTGGAGGATATCACAGACAAATAATAAGGAATAAGGCCACAGTGGAATTCAAAGGCAATGATGGAAATTTAAAACCAAATGTTATTTACCAATGCAGTAATGTGTGGTAATTGGGAAACAAAAATCAGTAGACATAAATATCATGGCCTGTTTTTATCCAAAGGGAATCAGTGATAGGGAATTGGCTGATAGAAAACAAATTTAAATTGAATTAGTTCAAGGTGAAAAAATGCCTTTCTGGAGATAGAACAGAAATGGTGGGCATGTACGATACCAGTCAAAAATGAAATATCTTCTTCGGTGTTGGAAGAAGCCTCGGACTTATCAAAGACTGATTTAGATAACTTTGTTGTGTACTGCATTCTTCAGCAAATCTTAAAACAGAAGAACAATGTTCTTACTTCAAATCATTATGATGGTTCATTGCCACTAATATTCATTGGAATGAAAATCAAAACTTCTCTGGGCTATCAAGCAGGTGGTGGAAAGAATCTCTATACTTGCAGAATGACAAATATTGATCAAATAATAAAGGAATGAAACATAATGGAAGTTATTCATTGCTTGAATGGGTGATTTTTAGGGTAAAGGAGTGCAATCAATGGAATTTCTTGTTGGTTCTTTTTCTCCTTGTGTCTTCTAAATGCCTATAAATATATATTTACCATCTTTGTGAATTATAGCTTTCAATAAAAATCTATAACTTGTTAGATTGGCATTCCAATGGTGAATTTTTCTCAAGGCACTTTGAAAATGAGCTTCAAAAAATATTTATTTCTACAGAATTCTAAGAAAATGACATTTATAACAAGAAGCTGAAGGAAAGCCAATTCATGGATCTGAGCTAGTCTGATTTTTAACTTGATTTTTATCATGCAACTTGCAATATCTTTGCAGCATTATTGTCTTTGTCTTTGTCTTTTAAACTTCTTGAAAGCAGTAACTAGGAGACACTTAGTCACAAAGAGGAATCTGAAGCCATACAATAATTACACAATAACAAAGTCAACTCAGAAGCCATCACTATGTACCACCATATATTCAAAGCACAAATTAGATGTCTTTATTTATTTAAAAAAATCTGCATTTTTATTTGGATGTTGTTTAATGCAGCTCCACTTCTAAATTTCTTTGAACTTGTTGAACTGTTTTGTGTTTGCAATGTAAATCAAGTAATGAGACAGACAAAGTAGCCCTCAAAATGAGATATGTATTGTTGAAGGGTTGGGGTGGGGCTGGATTTCTGATTGGTCTGGCTTCATCAGTGGAAAGTATCCTGGGTGGCAAAAGCCCAAATGTTTTGGGATAAGATCTAGCTCCCCATCCCAGTCTTTGGGCAATGTCATATCTATGTAATTTGTTCAAAATTCATTAGTACAACGAAAACAAAATAATTTGAGAAATTCAACTGTTGAACTAGTACACTTTTTCAAAGGAAACTTTTTTGTCAATGCTAAATCAACGATCATAAAAATGACCATTTGGCAGTGTTGGTGTGGTGGGCTACAATGTAAGCAGCATTTGAGTACTGGGTCAGTCCTGCCTTCTTATATGGAAGACAAATTATCATCAAATGGGCTGTCACAGAGATATGAGATGAATCTGAACAGGAATGACAAGTCTTGGTTTGACTAATCAAGAGAAGCATTGGTTTGTACCATCTTGTCTTTATTTTTATCACTAGCTTTTGTTTTCATCTCCAGCACCAACAAATGTACCCTTGCTCCCTTTACTTTTCTACACTGAGGTTGCTCAAAATGAGCAACTGATGAGGTGCACCAATCATGCTCATTGATGTGCAGGCCATCTAACTCTTGAGGACTTACCCTAGGAACTATGGTGGGTTTTGGGTATCTCTAACAAGCAAACAGAATGCTGGAGAAACTCCACAGGCCTGGCAGCATTTGTGAAGACAGCAACAGAGTTAATGTTGAGTCCATTATGACTTCTTTAGAACTCATTCAGAATAGATGCTGCAAGACCTGCTGAGTTTCTTCAGCATTGCGTTTGTTTCAGATTTCTAGCATCTGCAATACTTTGCTTTTATTTGGGTATCTCTAACCTTTCCTTAAATACTATCAAGAAAGGTATCTTTCAAATGATCATGGAGATTTCAGAAGGTTCCACAATGTTGAATGGTGGCAATTTCCAAATTGGTGCATTGAAATTAACTTGCCCTAGTTCTAGTTATTCTGTCACAGGGCAGTAGTTGGAAGGTAAAAGCTTTATTAAAATAAAATAGAAAGGGAGAATAGCATGATTTAATCACTGAAGGTTAATAAATTGTTCTTAAAAAGGACTTGATGGCATTATCACATGATGAATGATAGGGATTTTAAATATAATGTTACTTTAAATACATGTATTCTGTTTATCGTGCCAAATTTTCCTTTTCTGATCTTACTGAAATTAAATTTTAAAACTACAACAAGAGAACTGATTTTTATTACATTTCTCTGTCTGCTACTGAATCACTGAATAGGGTAATCACCAATCTTTTTTTGACTAGGCAATTTGTTTTTGGTTGATGATGACTCCAGAAACGTAATCCATTTAGTTCACATTCATTTGTAGTGTCAATGTTGAATGAATAGTTTTATCTGTTAAGAAAATGTGAGTATTCAAGCTGTGAACTTCTTCCTTGCCCCAATTCTGCACCCTGATTAAACTGTACAAAGGTGGCAAGATTATCATGGATGTACCAAGTCTTGATGTGCTCAAGTTCCTCAACTTCTTGTCAGTGGCCTTGATCACAATGAAAATCAATTTTATTTAGAAAGGCTCCAGCTGTATGTACTCTTGTTCAGGGCCTCAATATTTTTGAATCAGCATGTTGGAGTTAAGAACAATTGGTACCGATGCCTAAAATGGGCAGGGTCAGTCTTATGTTCCTTGTCTCTAGACTTTAATGAGAATGACAATCACTATAAATGCCTTTGATCCAGTAACAGATCTGTGCATATTTCAGTGGTGTAATGCGCACTGCCACATTGTAATCTTGCTGCACCCCATGGAGGTCCACCCACTGATGTCCCGAAAATATACCGACGATCTTCCTTTCCCAGTGCTGTTTCTCTGGCAACCACAATTTAGCATAGACCCCGGAGCCACTGGAGCCTGGCTGGGCATCACAGTGCTGGTAGATGAGGTGAGGTGTCTCGTTGATTATTCGGCAAAATCGATACACCAGCTGTCCAGGTCTGTCACTGTCAAATCCTGAAAAATGGATTCTGTTGCCTGCTACTTGGTCTGTAGTTGGCATAACTGTGATCTCCATGTGTGGCCTGTCATGAGGCCTCTTCAGTTCCAGTAATGCATAGTCATAGTCCATAGTGAGGTCATTCTGAGATCGTATCCAACCCTTTGGTACCTGCGTGCGTTTGACACGTGACCACCTGGTCAATAATTTTGGTGGAAATTTGGAACTTTTTGCCAACTTTTGGGTTTTGGGATTCTCTTGCAAAAACCCAACCTTTAATTTTTTTGCCCCTTTGACGTAATCTTTCCCATCATGGATGCAATGTGCTGCTGTTAACACATGTCTATCTGACACCAGGACTCCTGTGCACCCTGTGGAGATTTTCACCGTTGTAGAGAAGGGGAAATGAAGCAAGAATTGTTTGCCAGAAATATCAAATCTTCCATCCACTCCAAAAATCTGTCGCTTACGCCGTAACCTCCTAGGGGCGTACTGCTTCACAAGAAGGGTATTTGGGTCAAAGTCAGGAAAGTCTACCATAGTGAGCATTCGTGTGCCATTGGTGTAAACTGTTTCATAAGAGAGATTTTCCT